TCCTAAATATTCTCCTTGACGTGCATGTAATGATGAGGTATATCCAAAAGGATCTCATCAAATAAAATTAAAATTGTCATGAGATATACAACATCAGCGCCTGCTGTACACAGTCCAGGATATCATGATATATGTCTTCGATATTTGGATGAAAACACATAACAATTGAACTGTTATGATAGTTGATGTAGATGTTACAACATCTTAACATCAGTATAAAACCATATTTTATCAAAATTAAGCCAACCATAAAACCATGAAACTAACATCTTTTAATTAAGATGCTATAGGAGATGGCTTTTACAATTCTACCCATATCCTTGATAAATTGGTACCGATACCTATTTGTTCTTCATCTAGTACTGTGATTATCAACTGAAGTTTTATGTTTCCTTTCTTTTTTTCAGTTGCAATGAAAACTGATGGTTCCCATTACTTGAAGGAAAGTTTCCCATCTGTTTTGACTGAGATTTTGGATTACTTTGCTAGATTTACCGAGCATTTGTTATGATTTTGGCTGCTAAAATATGTAAGAGTGCTTCTTTTCAGGCCTGTGTTCACTTCATGCCCAATACTCAATCCTTCGATCAAAGATTTTAAAATCATCTATGTTATAAACAGGTTGATGCAATATCTTCAAAGAAGCTACTTATAATTTGTACATGGAAGAGAATCCAAAAAATAAGATGTTAAGAGACCAAAGAAGGTGATTACTACAATACAACCTATTGAGGAGCAAATTTGAAGTGAAACATTCAAAGTAATTAACAATTACATGAGCTTAAATAAATAAACTTTGTCATATTAAAATATGTGGATACGGTCCACTTTGATGCTAGATGTCTATAGCTCACTGGAAGGATCAACTATACCTTTAAAATGTCATTATACATTTCCTAAGTACTATTTCATTAACTTGAGCAGCCTCGCTTTCAATTATTTTGACATTTAGTATTTTAGTTTATAAATAATCATGACGCATCCTATTTCTTTCAAATTGGTCGTTCACTTCGATTTTGATTAAGTTCAGACCAAATGAAATAAAGAGAGTCAAGATAGGAATCATATGGGTAGTTAACTGTCGTGTGTGCAACACAAGTACTTTTACAATTTTGGCATCATACGATAGTGAAAAAAAGTCAGAATTTTCCCACGATTTATAGTTAACTGTATCATATGGGTGTTTATGTCATGTGTGCAATACAAGTACTTTTCCTATTTTGGCATCTCTGAATTTTATAGCAATTAAATAGCGAAAATTCCACTTTTATTTTATATATATATATATATATATATATATATATAATAAATTAAAGTAAAATATCTAAATAAAAGATAAGTGAAAAAAAAAATACATGAGAATCAAAACAAAACAAATAAACCACTATCGAGATATGTAAGTTTGCAAATCTAAATTACCGATATCACTCTCAATTTACACACATGTATTTTCTTTTCAAATGAAACATATATTTGTCTATATGATTAATTTATATTATTGTTTCTATTATAATTCACAAAAAAAAAATTATAATATAAATTTAATAATCATATTTTGTCAAAACCAACTCTTAATATATTTAAAATTCAATAAAAAATAAACAAGTTAATTTCCAGCCGGACATCGCACGGGTCTTAATCTAGTATATATTAAATATTGGAAGTTGAAAAGTAATATATCACCTAAATTGAAGTTTTATTCTTTTGTTTAAATAAACTAAATGCGTGCAACAATTCCATATATTAATTCATCATCCAATCTATTTACTTATACATTTAATCTATCAACTCATAATTTATAATTTTAAAAATTTAAATTTAAATTTTATTTTAAATCGATTATATACTATAAAAAACAATTATCTATATCATTCTAATTGTTTGCACTTATCTTTAACAGAAAAAATGTGATTGAAATAAATCATATAATATAGAAGGGTTTATTATCTGATGATGATAATAGAATTTATCAAATTTCTGTAAATTTTATCATGGTCAGTATCAACACAATATTTTATTTTATAAATACTCATAATTATTAGTAATAAAGTTATTAGTAACATATTTATTTTTAAATATATACCATTATTAATGATTTTATAATAACAAATACATATATAAGACTGAGTTATAAAGAAAGATAGAGAGAAACTCTACCTTCTCTCTAAACTTTGTTTACTGTAGACTCGGACGGTGGCTGTTTTGTATCAGGCGTCTGAACTATGGTGTGGATTAATGCTAAAAGGAGGATGCTTCGCAACTTAGCTCCCCGATGGGATACTTTCTCGGTTATGAGGGGCATGTCGGAGCAGAGGAATCTAATCTTTCATTGGTGTTCTACTAAGAATTTCCTGATAGGATTAGAGCATCAGACATCCTCTAGTTATTTGGCTGCGTCAGAGAGGTGGTGGAGGTGGTGATACCGCCCAAAAGGAACATATATCTTCTAGTTATTTGGCTGCGTCGGAGAGGCGGTGGAGGTGGTGATACCGCCCAAAAGGAACAAGGTGGGAAAATGTTTCGGTTTCTCTATATTCAAAGAGGTGGAAGACTCAAGAGTTTTAGTGGTTAAACTTGACAACATTTTGATCGATGGACGTACAATTCAAGCTAACATCCCTAGATTCGAGAGAAGCTCGAGCAAAAATAGAAATGAGGTTCGTGGAGGAAGGACTAACGAAATACGCCCCCTTAGTGGATGTTGATACGATTAAAGGGAACGCGCATTCAAAGGGTGTCGGTACTAAAACCTTCGCGGAGGCGAAATGGTATGATGGTTTTGTCAACCCGAGGACGATTGATATGACTGCAGAATATGGGATTTTTTGGAGAATCTATTGACTATGTAAAAGCTATAATGTGTCCAATCAATAGTAGCAGTGGGAATATTACATAAACTTACCTTTTGTCTGATTCCAATGACACAACAGTAAAGTGTTCATTGGATAATTCTTTGTTATCCACGTGCGACAACCCTTTGGTAAAAAAGAGAGTTGGAAAGAGGAAGTTCAAAAGCTTTTGTGAATTAAATGGGCCTTTTAATGCCCAAAATTTTTTCCTTTATAGGACAAAAAGGCCCAAGAAAAGGCCGAAGAAGTCTTTAAAGTTTTTGACTCAGAATTGTTATTCCAGGGGCGAAATTCCAAGAGCTCTTGAGTCTCTTATTTCTGAAAGTCATGGCTCGAAACAGGGAGGGAGTGTTCCAGGCTCAACAATGTATGGAGATCAATCCGCTGAGTCAAATATCATCAGGAGTAACAATCGAATTTCAGAGGTTATGGACTCTAACACAGGTGAGAAACTTTGGCAAGCTATTTCTAATCTGGGAGTAGTCTCTGTTGATTCAAAGAAATATTACAAAAGGAGAATTGAGGAGTTAGAAAGGATAGATGTTTCGAGAAAGTTGGGAGGGAAGGCGATCATCAACATGTTGAAATGATTATAGCATCATTGAACATAAGAGGGGGGCGAATTTAGTTAAAGAGAAGAATAATTAGTCAAGTCATTAAGAAAGGCAAGGATGAGGTTTTTCTTATTCAGGAAACAAAAATGACTGCTTTGTCATATTCGGTTGCTCACATTTTTTGGAGTAACGAAGATATCGGGTTTTCTTACTCAAATTCGACGGGGCTTTTCGGAGGTCTATTGATTATGTGGAAGGTGGATAATGTTGATGTTTTGTACAGTTTTAGAGGCGACGGTTTTTTGGGAATCAAGGTTAGACGAAATAATTTCTACTACTATATTGTTAACATTTATTCTCCTTGTATGCTTATTCTAAAACACGTTTTATGAAGAAATTTGCTAGACTTTAAATTAAGTCATCCCGACGGGGAATGGTGTTTCGGTGGGGAATTTAATGCGATTAAAAGGGCTGGGGAGAGGATTGGCAGGGCGTTGGTTTGCAATAAGGCGGAGATGAAGGAATTTTCCAAGTTCATTAAGGACACCACTTTGGTTGACATTCCTTGTAAAGGAAGGAAGTAAAGTTGGATTAGTGGCAACGGCAAGACGAAGAGTATGATTGACAGTTTTCTCCAGTCGGATAACATAGTTAGTAGAAGGGGGTGGTGGGGCAGTTTATTAGGATGCGTGATATTTCGAACCATTGTCTGATATGGTTGGTGGTTGATAACGAAGATTGGGTCCTGAAATCGTTTAAAGTCAATAATGAATGGTTCAATAACAAAGAGTTCATTCCTTTCGTTAAGAAGGAGTGGAGTGATTCAGTAGTTGGAGGGAGGGGTGATTTTGTTCTTAAAGAAAAGTTCTGCTTACTTAAAGATAGATTGGGATGGTGAAACCGTGAAGTTTTCGGGAGAATAGATATGGAAGTGGAGGAAGGAGGTAGGGAGTTGAATATAGGAGACGAGAGGGTTGGGGCGGAGGGAGATCTTTTTAGGGAAGATGATCTTGAGAAGAGGAGAAAAGCTTCAAGTAGGATTTAGTTGAATTTAAAGATTAAAGAGAACATGCTAATCCAGAAATCTAGGCTTCAAGTGGCTTAATGATGGGGACAACAATAGTAAGTTTTTTCACCGTATCATGAAAGGGAGGAGATGTTGAAACTACATTGGTTTATTAACTCGACTAGGGGAGTTATTAAATCGGTTAAAGATGTTAAGGAATAGGTATTGCTGCACTTTTCCAGCAAGTTTACGGAGGATGACGGGAGCAGGCCAGTTTCTGACGGGATTTGCTTCAGTAGTTTGAATATTTCTGAGAGTTCTTCCCTTGAGGCTCCCTTTTCGGAGTGCAAGATTAAGGAGGCGGTGTGGGGGTGTGAGGGGTTTTAAAGTCCGGGAACGGACAGGTATACTTTCTTGTTTATCAAGAAATGTTGTCACTTTTTGAAAGACGATTTTGTTGTTTTTTCAAGGATTTCCATATGGGAGTTGTTTTATAAAAAAGCGATCACTTCTTCGTTTTTGACGATAATTGCTGAGGTTTCTAATCCTTTGGGGCTTGACGATTATAGGCCGATTTTTCTATTCGGTTGCATGTACAGAGCTCTTTCCAAGCTATTGATGGCTAGGTTGAAAAAAGTTCTTCATTCTATCGTTTCTATTTGCCAAAGCACATTTGTGTCGGGTAGACAAATGTTGGACGGGGTGTTGGTGGCAAACAAAGTGGTGGATTTTACAAATAAGGAGGGTAATAGTCGTCTTCTCTTTAAAGTCAATTTCGAAAAAGTTTATGATAACGTGAGTTGGGGTTTACTTAGTTTTATGATGAGGAGGATGGGGTTCAGTGAGATTTGGATGAGGTGGATGGAAGTGATGATTTTCACTAGTAAGATATCGGTGTTAGTAAACGGGTACCAAGGAATTTTTGGTCGAGAAGTGGTTGAGGCAGGGCGATCCATTATATCCTTTCCTTTTTGTGCTCGTTGCAGAAGGTTTATCGGCTTTGGTTAGGAAAGCGGTGGAATTGGGTGAATTCATCGACTTTAACATTAATGGTCAAAGCACCGTAGACATTATTCAATTCGCGGATGATATGTTGTTGTTAGGAGACAGAAGTTGGAAGCATATTTGGGCTATTAAGTCGGTGTTGAGGGGTTTCGAGTTAGTATCGAGATTGGGAATCAATTACCGTAAAAGAAAGTTGATCGTTATCAATATTAATCCTTTCTTATTAGATGCAACAACTTGTTTTTTATCTTACATGCTGGAAGATAAGGCGTTCTTATTTCTTGGCATTCCAATCGGATCTAATCCAAGAAATTTTTTGATGTGGCAACCGCTTACTGAGAAGTTGAAAAACTAGTTATCTTGTTGGAAAGGGAGATACCTCTCCTTTGGAGGGAGGACCACCCTCCTTAAATCGGTGTTTTGTAGTTTATTGATATTTCTTCTCTCGTTTTAAAGCTCTGATTAAAGTTATTCAAGAAATTACTAAGTTACATAGTAATTTTCTTTGGGGTGGAACGAAGGAGGTTAAAAGGAATCATTGGGTGAGTTGGAAGGACGTTTGTCTTCCTGTGGATAAATGAGGCATAGGTTTAAAAGACATCAGAGATTTCAACTTGGTGCTCCTTCATAAACGGAGATGAAGTGTTTTGGAAGGATCGGATGCGTTATGGTACTCTATTTTGAAAGCACGATATGGTGATATAAATCTTAAAGTTTCAAATGCGGCAGGTGTTCTAAATAAGAGAATCTCCAAATCATCATGGTGGGTGGATATTTTATCTATTTCAAAAAAACTCCCCGAGGATGTGTTCATGTCTAGTTGCTGGAGCACTATCAGTAACGATTTTTCTTCATCGTTTTGGCATTCCAACTGGCTGCAGGACACCAACTTGAAGGTTTTGTATCCAGTTCTGTTTTCTAGGTCCCGACTACATGACGTTTCAGTCGCTGGCATGAGCGGATGGAGGGAGGGAGAATTCCTTTGGGGTGATTTAGGCGTGCCTGAATCAGAGCTGACTGTTGTAGAAGCAGATCTGCTCAGCCTGCTGTCTCTGCTGCCTACAGGTAGCAGTTGGAACGGTGGCAAGGACAAAGTCCGCTGGCTTAGGGAGATCGACATAAATTTTTCTATAAGTTCCTTCTATAACTTAATCAAGAGCTTTCATGTCCCGTTGGGTCCGCCTAATCGTTTCGACAAGGCATTGGATTTAGTGTAGAAATTGGAGGTTCCTTATAAGATTAAGGTGTTCGGCTGAAGGTGTTTTATTAATAGGATTCCAACGAAAGATTTTTTGATGGTTACAGGCACCATTCTTATTTTCAGAGCTGTCGAGTGCACGTTTTGTTCAGTTGTAGGAGAATATCTTGGTCACATATTGTTGTTTTGTCGTGTTTCGGTTTTGGTTTGGAAAGAAGTTGCAGAATGGATTAACTTTGTGGAGTATAAAAGTGTTAGTATAAAGGATAGTTTTGTAAGGTGGTGCGATTTTTGTAGGTATAAGAAAGCAAATCCCGATAAAGTTGGGGGTATTTGGTTGGCGACGGTTTGGAATTTGGGGATGTTGCAGAATGGTATAATTTTTCGAAATGATGATTGGAATATTCTAGATGTGGTTTGGAGTAGTATTAAAGCCTTGACTTGAAGATGGTTCTTCATTGGAGATCTTAGACACTCCAATTGCAATTTTCATGAATTCAGAAAGAATACTTTGTACTACTACCTTTCTTAAGTTGCAATTGGATTTTAATATTTCCGTTGTCGAGCTTTGTCTCGCTTTTGTAATCAGATTCGAGAATCTTTAGTTCTCCCATTAATATATCTTGCTTAAAAAAAAAGAAAAATAACGATTCAATCTTATCGAATTATCTAAGATATGAAAAAACTTATTTTTTTTGGGCATGATTTTTCTATTAGATACTAAAAAAATATCTCCTTTTTATTGGGGCAAAATACAAAACTCATTCTTTCATATCATTATTGACGTTAATATTATTCATGAATACAACATTTTGGTCACACCTTACTACTATTTCATATTTTATTATAACTTACATATTCTATCATTACAATTATAAAATTTTACTTAAAATTATAATTGATAGAACCCATACGAACACCTGAATCTTCTACCAGATAAATCTAGAAGTTTAACCCATTAAACGCTCAAAACTTCTCAAACTCCCTAACATGTTTTAATAAAAAAAAAGAAGATTGATTAAGAGATGTGTTTTTGATTTGCCACTTCAAAAGACTGGGAAGTGGCGCAAAATGAAGCAAATTTTTTTAGTAAAACAAATCAATAAGTGGAAGCCCTCTTATTTTATACACGCTTTTAAAAATAAATATAGTTTGTTACTGTATTTTATTATAAAAATTCAAAGAAAAAGTTTATTCAGATAGTGAGATACAACTAAGTAGCAAGAAGTTGAATACCTTGTGAGAAATCATATTTAATAGGGATGGACAAAATTGAACGTCTGATTTAAATCGATTAATTTATTGTCTTTTTGTGTAAATAGATCAAATCGAATCAGTTATTGGATTGATCAAGTTGTTTGATTTAGACAGTATATAATTGCTTCGTTCAAGCTCGAATGATCATTTTGAATCTGTCAAAAATCGAGTATGACCGAACTCAATTAATATTTATTTTTATTTATGTAGTGGTGAACCATTATAAAAATGAGATTCATGATATTTTGAGGTTATTATCATTTTTATAATTTAATGATGATATATGTATTCACAAAAATACAAGACATACAATATAAAATTAAGTGTTATATAATTTGTGATTTAAAGGATAATAATTAACAAATTAGTGTTAAATGATATTTGAAATATTATCATAATAATAATGTTTTCATCAATAATAGTAATAAAAGAAAATAGTTCTTTTTTGCCTATTCTAAAATTTTGATAGTTTTTTTAAAAAATCTAAAAAATGAATGTGTGAATTTTATATAAAATTGACAAATTTATGAGTTTAGCTCAATAAATATTAAATCGACTAAAATCATTCGACTTATCTACTAAATTTATTTAATCAAATTCGTCAAAAATCAAAATTTTACAAGTCAGAATTGAATCTTTAGAATAAAATTGTGATTTGTGTCAGATTTAACTTTTGAGACTGATATCGATCCGATCCAATCCAATCGATTGTCCACCCCTAATATATAATATTACTATATGTAAAACAAAATAGTACTAGTTGAGTATATTTTATTGCATGCAAGTTGCATGTAATATAATATTAATACTATATAAAAACAGTAGTAATGTGCTGCCCATTCCTATATTTAGCATTCATGGGTTCTTATCACATTCTATAAATATATATCAATGCTCTTCAACCAACTTACCCAAAAATCTAAACCATGTTACTTGAATCTCTTGTCTTGTGTTTCCTCTCACTAGTGTTACTCTCTCCATTTGCAACCTCAGAGCAATGCAACCCACAAGACAAGAAGGCATTGCTCGAAATCAAAAAAGAATTCAATACCTCTGAAGTTCTTCAAAACCTATGGAACCCAAAAACAGATTGTTGTATCTGGGTTTGGATCGAATGCGACCCCACAACCAACCGTGTCACTGGCCTGGTTATGAAATTCGACGAACCAAGCAATGATATCGTTGGTCATATACCTTCTTCAGTTGCTCAACTCCCTTATCTCGAACACCTCGAATTCAACAATCTTCCCACGCTCACCGGCCCAATCAACCCCGTTATCTCCAACCTCAAACATCTCAAGTATCTTGTCATTTCTTCCACTGGTATCTCAGGCCAAGTCCCGTCGTTCTTGAGCGGGTTTCAAAATCTCGAACTTCTTGATCTATCCTTGAACAGTCTCACCGGAACCATACCAAGTACACTTTCCCAGTTGCCGAAGATAACAACCTTACGCTTGGACAATAACAAGCTTACCGGCCAAATTCCAAACTCATTTGGTTCGTTCAGGAAACCCGGGCCAGAGATCTATCTATCAAACAACCGTCTTTCTGGCCACATTCCTGCTTCATTGGGCCAACTAGATCTGGAGTCCATAGACTTATCGGTCAACAGGCTTGAAGGCGATGCTTCTTTTCTTTTCGGGAGCAAGAAAAGGACACGGATCCTTGACCTTTCGAGGAACTTGTTGGCGTTTGATCTTTCAAAACTGGATCTTCCAAACAAGAGTTTGACATTTTTGCATCTGGATCATAATTATATTTATGGTAAGATTCCACAGGTATTGAACAAAGTGAACGCTTTGGAGCGGTTTAATGTGAGTTATAATTTGTTGTGCGGTGAGATACCGCAGACTGGAGATTTGCAAAGGTTCGGTGTGTTTGCTTTTTATCACAACAAGTGTTTGTGTGGCTCACCCCTTCCCAAATGCAAATGATAACGGAAGGAGGCTTCAGCTAAGTTAAAAATGAATCTCTTCTTTCTGTACCATTTTGAATTTGTATGCAATAATGTTCCATGTTTGTATTCCAATTCTAAATCTCTGGTTCCAAATCAACTAATATGCAGCAATGGATCTAAAATTTCGTTATTGATTTGTTCCCCAAAATCTTTTATTTTCTCCCTCCATGCTTCTTAGCATCCTTTAACTAAGGTTGGTTGCTTTCGACTTAAGATCAAGAATTAATTTGCACTGGACAACTTTTTTATCTATCATAAAAAATTAGATAATATCCATTCAATCAATCACGTAATATCATTTAATTTTAATATATTTAATTATTTATTAAATAGTACATTTATTTGTTGTTTCCAAATAATTTTACATTAAAGGTAATGTTTAGTAATTATCTTCCGTAAAAATATGTGATAATATGGGGAAAAAAATAGAAAAGTGGATTTGAAAACTAATCTAACTAGTTCATAATGAGTTTCTAACCAAGCCAACCTCTTTTGAAAGCAAGTTATATGTTCATACATTGCACTTTCAAACTCAGCATGGATAGCTTACGACTGACCAAGATTGATTACAAAACAACCCACCACGTAGACTCAACATTTCTCAAGATACCATCACACATGAAGGATGTCTTGGGTTGCTTAAAACTATATCATTGATGTTGCACTTGATCCAGGGATCAATAGGAAGAAATAATCGCCCTATAAGAAAATCCACGTTTTGCAAAGTGATTATGGATGGTGTTAATCACCCCGCAAAAAAGACGTTTGTCGGGTGATTTCACCCTACAACTAAAATAAATTTTTAAAAATAAAACATAACACCTCGCAATTAATGGGAAATTTCAAAACTTATGAAAATTAGGTTTTAAGGTGAGAAATCCCCGAACATTAAAAAAAAGGGAGTTTTGACTAGGTAATTTATTATGTGTCATAAGGGATAATGACTCTTTTAGTCACTTTTAAGTAGGGGTAGCAAAACGGGTCCGACCCGTTATACATGTCTGTTTTACCCGCACTTTAGTGCGAGATGAATCAAGGGTTTAGACCCCCACCCTTTAATGTGTCCACTCCGTCCCTCTCTGTTTCTACGCGGATTTTTTCGGGCACGTGCATTTACATAAATTATTGTGTTTTAAGCTTAAAGGTGTAGTGTCTGTGGATTTTCCCCGTCCCGCCCTCACTTTTTTGCGGGACATGGATAGGTTTTAGGCCTGCGTCCTCAATAATATCCGTTCTGTTTTTTTGCGGGACGAGCCTAAACAGGACGGACATGCCCGTTTACCACCCCTACTTTTAAGTATGCAAAAGTTACGAGGTGAAAATCACCCCACAAGCTGCAATAGTCCTAAAGTTGCGAGGTGGTTTTCACCCCCTCGAAATTCTTTATATTTTCCCAAAAAACACACATTATTAATATACATTATTAATACTCTCTCTTCACTACTACAAATATACCCATTTTACCTCAGACGCGAATGAGAGTTTACTTCGGTTATAGAGGCGAGGTAACGAAAAGCGCCATGAAAACCTCCCACATTATCTCTCGGTTCTGAAAAACTGAAGAGATCGGTGAAAAGGTCATTGGTTCGATCCCCAACAACAACATTTTATTATTTTCAAAACTATGTTGTGTGCGCCACATACCTCTCGATTTTTGTTAATAATCGAGGGAAATACACCTCTATTTACATCATATTTTGTTAATAAC